GGGGGGGGGGGGGGGGGGGGGGGGGGGGGGGGGGAAGGCACGTGTGATCGGGCATGCACATGTCTGTGGGCAAGGGGGTGGGTTGATGTGTGTGCACATGTGTGTGTCACTCGACAGGCTGACAAAGGGGGACCCATGCTTGAGAGCCCTTCCCGCGATCCTTCACAACACACACCACCCACCGTGACTGGGGCGGCCCAGGCCCGGGAGCGGATGTTGTTGCGTGCCACTGATGGGTACGAGGGTCTTGGGGGGTGGGTTCGGAGCAACACCCGCACCTCTGCCACCACGGCGGGAGGGTGCGCCACTTCATGGAGAGTGCCGGGGGGGAGGGAGGGCTGTTGGGGCTAGGGGGAGGGGGGGAAACCATGCTCCCGGCAGAGCGGCAGGACGGGGTCTGGGCACAACTGAGATGCGGTGCGCAGGTCAGAAGGATCCCGTCCCCTAGGAACGCATCGTCAGGCCTCGCATGACGAGGAGGCAAGCAGGGCAGGGCGATTCCCCCACTCAGTCCCCCCTCCGAGCCCCTGCCAGACCCAGCACGGGCCCCCCCCCCCAACTCACAAAAGAGGGACCAGTAGCCACAGTGCATGAGCACTGCCACCACATCAGAGTCGTCGGTGTACAAGTCGCAGCCCCAGAGCTGGCGGGACCTCACGTGCCGGTTGTTGCTGGTGAGGCAGTGGGCCGGCACGCGGATCTGCGGCGGTGGTCGGCGTGGGGTGGGGAGGGTGGCTCGGATCACTGTGTGGCATACCTGCCACGAATGCCCACACAAGGGAGCAGCAGCGCTGCAGGGCATGAGCCTCAGCCTCCTCACCTCGAGGAGTTCGGCGCCGCCCTCACGTTCGTGGCTGAGGCTGAGATCTCTCAGGGGCTCGGTCTCCTTGTACATGATCAGGGGGCCCCGAGTGCCTGCACATGGGTTGGGCATGGACGCAGGGAATGAATTGCATGGTTGAAGGCTTCGGCTGGTCAGAGGAAGGAGGGGTGGGGGATTAGTGGAAGTAAGTACTGGTGTCGTCGATGCCGCCCCCCCCCCTGCGGTTTCCCGGGCTGTCAGATGCCATGAACCCCGACATTCCCACATCCCAGTCGCCAACGCAGCGACGCAGTGCCAGCGAAACGCACCGCTTCTCCTGTACCCTCCACGACTCCCTTCATCCAATCTCGAGGACTTGCTGTTGCTCCGATCCCCGCTGGAGTCAGCGGGCTGGCGCTTTGACATGACCGGAGGGTTGTGGGGGTAGCCCCAGCCAGACGCACCCTGTGACGGGGAGGAATTTGGGTTCTCGCTGCGCCCATGGTGATGGGATCCAGTCGTGATGCACACGGCCGCCGTGAGCTGGTACGCACCGCGCGAGCGGAACTGCGGAATGACACCCACCTGTGCTTGGCAGGCGAGGATGTCAGCGCGCACCCAGCGACGCCCTCACACACGGTACACCGACAAGAAATGTGCAAGGATGGCAGCAAATTCGAATCTTGGGATCTTGTCAATGAAGACATCGGAAGACGACTGGATTCGATGGCAGTTCTTCTTCTCGTGGGTACAACGGGGGGTGCCGAGGTTTCAGATCCCGGCACCCCGCAGCATGCAAACCAGCAGGCAACTACTTTCAAGGAATCACTCCCCCACTGTGGACCCCCTGAGCTGATGTCCAGGCGGGCGAAAAACTGTCAATGCACTTGCCATACTTGAATTCGCACATTCTCAGCTCTGCAAAAAAAGCAACCTCAAGCAGATTAGAACCCAAGGGGCACATCTGTAGGGGGGGTAGAGGCAAGGACCCAGGGCAGTGGTCTTCATGCCGCCACCTCCGCGGCCTTCCCATCCGCACTCTCTCCGCTCTGGGCCGCCTGTTTCGCCTGCTTCTCGGCCAAACGTTGCGCCGTCTTCTTCTTCTCACGCTCCAGGAACTCCTGTGGATTGGGGGTGGTATGGCGAGCCGGCTCAGCGACAGAGGCTCCGAGGGGTTTGGGAGGTGACCATCCCACCAGTCGGCCCCCACTCCAGTCGCGCCACACCATCTCCAGTCCGCTGCCCACACCTTCATGATCTCCTTGGCGGCCTGCAGCTTGGACAGCACGTTCTTGTAGGTCAGGAGGTCGGCGTTCACGCGCTCCAACGGCACGCCCAGGGCGGACGTCAGGCCGGAGAGGGCCTTGGGGCCCTTGGCCCCCGCCAGCTCCAGCAGGCGGAAGAGGCCCACGGCGAAGAAGCGGGTGTACAGGAAGTTGCCGGACTTGATGGCCTCGGCCGTCTGTGCCAGTGTCTTCTGGATCTCGCTGCCCTCTGCAAGGGAATGACAGGGTCTCTGAGGTCAGTAATCATGGTCTCCATGGCAAAGCTATGGCAAAGAGCCACACGAGAGATGCCAAGCATCCTACCCCCCGGCATGCACTCGGGCATCCCCAGGAGGGTTCAGCGTTCTGATTGAGGAGGCACTTGATGCTGCTTACGCGAGCGGGCCCAACCCACCAGCTGGCTGCGTGAGCTTTAGCCCCCTACACAACACAAACAGAGTCCAGGCCCCCCGCCTCTCCCCCCTAAAAACCCAACCATTACCTGCATCAGGCTTCAGGTTCTCGGGGCCACCCAAGCTCCCGGCGGCCTCTTCGAGGCGCCGTGCATCACCACGGTATTGCGCCGGGTCCTCCTGCAGCGCCTTGATGAACGCCTCAAAGATGGGGTCCTGCTCCGGCAGCCCCTCCAGCAGCTGGTCAAAGATGCTGACCACGCCGAGGGCGGTGATGGCGTTGTAGGAGTAGGTCACGTTCCAGCGGAACAGGTGTTGCTGCACCAGTAGCTCCTGGATGACGGTGGAGTAGATGCCCGGCAGAGGGCGCTTGAAGCCCTCTAGGAAGGCAGCCTTGGTGTCCGCCACCGTGGGAGGGATGGGGTGGTGCTCGTGTGTGGCTGCATCCGGGAGGAGAAGGGGGGGTCAGGGCTTGGCTGACATGATAGCACAGCCCATGACGGTGCTCGCCATGGGAACGGCACGATGCCAGCCTGCACCAGCCGAGTTCCAAGCGACAGTGAAGGTGCCTGTGACAGTAATGGCCCAGTGGCAAATCCCACCAGCAGTATGCTCCAGAGGGACCCTGCATGGAATTCCCCATCACAAGGCACCAGGGCATTACATGCTTTCATGGAGACGGCCGACCGGAGGCTGCGCCTCGGGCATGCTCTAGAAGCCTGAAAGACGAGCTTCGACCTCACCGGCCGCAGACTGCAGAGAGGGGCGGGATCCCATGAGTACGCAGCTCGCATGGGCAGGCAATGATCTATACAGCCCAAATTACACCGCGCGGTGTGTGGCCTCACCATGTGGTGGGGGCCGGGGCCACCGCCAGGCAGGGAAGGGCTCCCAGCATCGCTTCCGGAGACCTGCTTCGTACGCCTTGGAATCTGGTTATGACTCGGAAAATATGCGCGGGTGGGTAATGTGCGGTGTCTGAGTGTCTTTATGAGGTGCAACTGCTCCCGGGAGTGCCCTGGTCTGGAGGATCACCCCCGGTGTCGTTTGCTTGGTCGGCAGCGCGCAACTCGACAATGGGAGGCTCTCGTCAGCATCCATTCAGCTACCAAATCTAGCCTTGCCGGTGTACACCCCTTGTGTACTATTTCTTCGCTGTAATGATTGACAAATATCACTGGCAAGCCGATGGGTATCAAAGGGTTGCATGCGCACCCAGCTTGCGTTTCAAATGCTGGGTGGTCTGGCAATGCGTAGGCTGCTTGTACTGATGCTCACAAGGGGGGGAAGGATGACTGCCTGGCGTCAGCACACGACGCACGACTTTCTTCGGGTGGCTCGGATCGAAGCCGAGCGCGAGGCAGGTGGCTGCGCACTCGTGGCGCTGGCTACCGGTGGGGTACTCGCTGGGCCCGGAACCGGGGCGGTGGCGCCGTCTGCCGGCCGACTCGTGTCAAGAGCCGGCCGGTGTGGGTCGCTGACCGCATGCTGTGCCGGGTGCGCACGCTCAACTTCCTCTGCGCTGTTTCCCCAGCGTCTCTCCAAGCACGCCCACATCCGGCGCCTCACCAGTCTCCTCGGCCCCTGGCGCCGTCCCTTCCACGACAGGGGTCAAGCCCCCCGCCACGCTCGAACCGGGGACAACCCCCTCGGCCCCTCGCGTCCCAGGCGCGGCGCCACGTGGGACCGTGGCCGCGGTCCCTGCCCTGACCGCGGCGCCGGGGTCCACGTGGCCGCGCCCTCAGGCGTGGCCGTTGGCCCCGGACCGCGTCCGGGAGGGCGCCGGGCCGGCGGGCGTGTGCAGTACCAGGGACTCGTTGCCGGTGCCCAGCAGGATTGACGAGCCCCTGCAGGTTGGTCACGGGAGAGGGTGCGTTGGAAACCATGCGGGTCTGTCCGCGCAACGGGCGGATCATCGGTGCAGCAACGCGGCGGGAAGGGCAGGGGGGACGGTTGGCGGGCAGGGTCCTGCTGTGTGACAGCCTCCGCGCTGTTCTCAGGGTGTATCGCTTGCCCCACCACAGGCGCGGCTTCCCAGCACCAAATGTGCGGCTTCCCAGCACCACACCGGCTCACTGGCAGCGAACGGGCAGGAGCTCGTGCCGGCCCACCCCGCCTCACACCCTCTACCCTGTCCCACTCCCCCTTCCACACCAGCCCGCCCACCTGCTGAGCTCGGGACGGTACTGGGGCCCCGGCGCGGGCGCGGCGCCGATGGCCACACCCTCACCCGACTCGCGCTGCTCCCCCTCCTCCCCCTCCTCCTCGTCCGGCACGTTCTGGCCCTGGCCGCGCAGGATGGTGAGCAGGCTCTTGGGCCGGATGTGCTTGATGCCGGACCCGAACTCGTTCACCGACACGATCTTGATCATGTACTCGCCCACCCCCGTGCGCGACACAGTGACGACGTGGTCCTCCGGCGCCAGCATGCCCTGGCGCACCGCCAGCACCACCGCCTCCTCCAGCAGCGACTCGCCCGCGCTGGGCGTGGGCGCGGCCAGCACGGGCATGAGCCCCGAGGTGAGCAGCGCCTGGCGCGCCGAGGACCGGCCCTCCAGCCGCCAGCGCAGCCCCTCGCGCTTCAGGTAGGGCACCACCAGCGTCATGATGGGCATGGCGGGGCGGTACTTGGCCACCAGCCCCGCCGCGCGCCCGGTCTGGGTCACCACGATGATCATGGCGGCGCGGACCTTGTCCGCGGCGCGCACCGCCGACGAGGCGATGGCCTCCAGCTTGGACAGGCGCGCCGCGCCGCCCGACCCGCCGCTCAGCACCGACTGGCTGCGAGGAACGGAGGGCGCGCCGCCGCCGCCGCCGCCGCCGCCCGCACCCCAACCCGCCGCCTCGGAGGCCAGGCTGGCGCCCGACAGGTTGCGCATCATGTCCACGCGCGAGGCGTGGGCCTCGCCCTCGGCAGCCAGCCGCCCACCTTCGTCCACCAGGTGGTCAAAGTGCGCGGCGTGGTCGAAGGCGGCCTCCGCCTCGCGCGCGATAGCGCACACGGTGCGCACCGTCTCCAGCGCGTACTTGCCGCGGTACGTCTCGGCGCCCAGCAGGAAGCCATCGGCGCCGTCCAGCACCGCGTTGGCGATGTCGGTGGCCTCCGCGCGGGTGGGGCGCGGGGTGTCGATCATGGTGTCCACCACGCGCGTGATCAGGACCGGCTTGTTCAGCACCACGCAGGTGGAGATCATGGACTTCTGGATCATGGCCATCTTCTCGGGCGGGACGTCCAGGCCCAGGTTGCCGCGGGAGATGATGATGCCGTCGGCGGCGCGGACCAGCTGCTTGAAGGCAAACAGGCTCTGCCGCGTCTCGCACTTGGCCAGCACCTTGGTGTGCCCCGACCCGACGGAGGACAGGAAGGCGCGGGCGGACTCCACATCCTCCGCGTCGCGGCAGTAGGACAGCGACAGGAAGTCGACGTCGAAGTCGGCGGCCAGGGAGGCCACCGCCTCGCGGTCGTAGGCGGTGAGCAGGGGTAGGTCGTTCTGCTTGTTGGCCAGGCCCTCGCTGGAGCGCTCGGTGTGGAAGACGGTGAGCAGGCCCGACAGGACCGCGCCGGAGAGGGCGGTGCAAGTGATGCTGGTCTCGTCCGCCGCCTCCACGCGCATGTAGAGCGAGGAGGCGTCGGCGCCGGAGACCAGGTAACGCCCCACAAACAGATTGTCCCCGGGCTCCACCATGGCGGGCAGGCCGGGGTAGGAGATGGGAAACAGGCTGGCGCTGAAGGCCTGGCTGGTGTCGGTGGTCAGCACCACCGTGGACCCCGCCACGATTGTCGTGGCGTCGGGCTCGCGGTGCGTGCCGTCGTTGTCCTGGGCCACGTCGCGGTTGACCATGATCTCCCGCCCCAGGCAGTCCAGCATCACCGCGCACAATCTTTTGAGGGTTTTGAGAAGGGATGTTTTGTGGGGGGTGCCGGGAATGTGCACCTTTTGGTGACTTGGAGGTCCAAACAACCACCCTTCGCCAGGACTCCATGATTCCCCACGGCCTGCACGCGAGCACGCACCTCCTCGTCTTCTTCATGGCTTCCTGGAGGTTGGCCAGGGACTGACGGTGGTAGGCCAGCGAGTTCCACTGCGGGCGAGGGCAAGGGAGGCGGCGTGAGGCAGCCGACCGTCGGCAGACATGGCAGCGCCAATGCGGTGATAGCATTGCACTGTGAGAGCAGGCGCACCGGCTGCGTGTGATCTTCCTAATCAACGGCCTCCAAAATAGACCAGCGCAAGCCGGGAAAGATCAATACCAGGTGCCCTGCTTCTTTCATCGACCATGAATCCCAAACCCAAACAGCTCATAGCCCCTCACCGTCAGGTCGATCCGTCCGCATGTCCCGCCAGCCTCCAGCAGCTTGCACAGTGTTTCAACAGATCGACTGCCGGATCCAATGGTGAATGCCACTGGGGAGAGGAGGGACGGCCGAAGTCTCAGCAAATTGACCTCCATCGCTGAACGGCGCAGCCACCAAGCCCCCAAAACCCCAACTCATCGAGGCTGGCACACAACCTTTCCCGACCCGTCCTCACCCTTTGTTTTTGTGAAGGAGCCATCACCATGTGTGGCGTCCGCATGCAGCACCTGCCGCAAGTCGTTATTCTCAAAAAAATGTGTCTTGGCCTTGGTCGTGTGCGCCGTGGCCATTTTGCAGCAAGGGTTTTCCGCGCTAACAGGTCTCGCGAGCTAGAGGGGATCTCACTATGTGCAAGGATCCCAATCAAAGCCTGTATGTCAAGCTGGCTGTGGTCTAGCAGGGTGGGTCCCGGACTGGCCCATCAGGTGCGGCCTGATGCCGAAGGGTTGATGCCCCAGAAATCCACAATCTGGCGGGAAACTCGAGGCGTGTCGGAAGTCCCCCCCTCCTTCCGGGGTCCTCCCAAGAATATGCCGCCGAAACGCGTTGGCAGGTACGCTGGATTTCGTCGAGATGGCCTCTATATAGGGGATCCTCTGGAGCTCCGGCATAACCCTGTCTCATACTAATATCTGGGTACTTTGGCTTGGTCGGTCGTGGTCGGTCAGTCCAGAGTACTGCTCCCCCTCCCAAGCCCACCGGGGCGTGCCTGGCCCCAGCCAACCGCCTGTGACCATGCACGCCACTTCAATGCTCGGGACCGTGGCGCAGCCCAAAACCCTTTGCCGGCAAGCAATGTCCGCTGTGGTTCCCCAGGCCGCAAGCGTTGTCCGACCTTGCCAGTCGTCCCACGGGAGATCGTCGGAGAGTGCAACCCCCCTGGCCCCGGCCCCCGAGAGGTTACAGCGTCGACAGTCGCATATCGAGCGTCGTGAGAAGGTCCATAGCATGCTGCTGGAGTGGGACCGATACTGCTGAGCGCCTAGCGCCTGGCGGACGGAGATACCGGAGCTCGTACACGGCCTCGACTCCACGGACGAGGGGCGGGGGCAACCTCTTGCGCCCATCTCTCGCCCCCCACCTTAGACCGACCTGTACATTCGTTTTGAGCGTGATTCAGCAAAAAACGTATTTCTCATCAGCTTGACGTACTGGCCGCAGCGGCCAGAGAGAAGATTGCAACTCCCAGATGTTTTTCACCCCAGAATCACTTCCTCCCTGGCACTGCCTCCTGGGAAACGAACGCCTGTCCGATTGCAGATTGCACGGCCCGCACCACATAGCGGGTATACTTGTCATTGTAACACCGACTGGTACAGCACAGCAAAACAGGGTGCCGGCTTCTGATGGATGCGGGGCAGAGGGGACCGGCCTCAGCTGAGCTCCATGGCCTCCGGCGCGGGGCCCACCTCCACATACTGAGCGACGTCGAAGCGGCGCTCCGCCACCACCGCTGCGCGGTATAGGATGGGTGGGGGTGTGTCAGGGGAGGTTGGGCTGCATGACATGCAGCTGGGCAGGCGGACGTCATCAAAGTGGCAACCCATATGATACCAACACATTTTCCAGCCGATGAACTCCAGCCAGGCTGGCCCTTGCTGGCCCGAAGCCCTTCCCACTACAGTCTTCTCCAAAGCCCGATTCATCATCCGCCTCCCCCCATCCCCGCGCTCCCCATATAATGGGCCTCCCGGCCCCAGCCTGCCGTGCCGCACCCCCTTTCCCCCTTCCCAACTCACGAGCATTCCCGGACTTGATGACCATGGGGTGCGCCCGCTCGTACGTCTTGCCCTGCAGGTACTGGTGATTGCGCAGGTACTCTACGCTGCCGCGCTTGATGACGCAGATGTCCACGTTTGACCCCGACCCCAGGTCGTTGTACACCCCGGCCCTGGGAGGGGGGGG